CCTTGCACTTGATAGGGGCGTGTCGGCGAGAAGGAGCGTGCACACTGTTTGAAGCCTTCTCAGCCTTTTCGTTGAAACGCGTATGCGACAAAAAGTGATAGAAAACGAGTAACACGAAGGATATAATACAGTAATGTCACTTCCTGGTTCAACGATTGGTGCAGTACGGGTGCGGGCGACCGCGCCGCACGCAGCCGCACTGACATTGACTATCAAGTGCAAGGATGACGACTGTACATCACAGCCACCGAGAGGACGTGTCTGCTTACTTGGAAGTAATAGCGGCGCGCTTTTTGTTCTGATATTGTGGACAGTTATGAGCACCTCTCTGTCCACCACAGAATGGCAGTAAACAAATAGGAATATCCTACGACAAACGTATCCTATGGCCTGTCTAGATGAAGGTATGCACACACAGCCACGCTCCTGGCACATTAGGGATAAGGAGCGTACTAGGTTGCAAGATTAGTTCTTTGACGAAAGAGATTACTTATTTTTGTTTTTTTTTAAGTTCACCGGATGGTAACAACATTTCTTTCAAACTTTTGGTCAACAACCGTTTTGGTGACATCGCTATTTGACGCTTCGAGAATGTTCCAGAGAGTCATCGCACACTTTAATGTGTTCGATTTCTCTTGACAAAATTTTTCAAGAAGTCAACCATTTCTTCTTGAAGCTAAATATTGAGAGTTTGAAAATAAGCTGGTCTGACAAAACCGGGAGTATGCTTCTCGCATGACGCGATCACATTGTCACTAACATGTCAGTGACACACCATGAGACTCTTCCAGGCAGGAAAACTCGTCCAATTAGCTAATCCACTGGATTTCCCTAGTCAGCCATTAGGAAAGTCTCTAATTGAGAAGCTCGAGCAACGAAAAGAGCCTGTGTTATCCATTTTATGTAGGCTGTCAATTACCGGGCTGTTTAGTAAATCGGACAAGTTATCTGAGTTGGAACGTACGATGCTCGATTTGTACAGACGCGGCATTGTCAGTGTGAGTGCGCCATACGTCCGCAACTCGACAAAACCACACCACATTCAATGAGCGCCAGTGATCTTTCTGATGGCAGCGCAAGCCTCAGAAAGAGTCTGGAGAGTTCTCCTCCCTCGAAACCCATGACCTTTGTACTGCTCGTTTAAAACTTCACAACTTCTGAAAACTATTTTTGCAGTCACTGTACAGTCCTGTTCGCTGCGGATGATGGGGCGTGTCAGGCGGGATGAGTTCGACGCGGCGCCAAACCCGTTTCCTCCTAGTTGTTGGACCGGGTAAGCGACAACAATTTCTCGAAAACGACTCATATGAACTTCATCATATTGTTGCTTGGTCCCTTCAACAAGTGGTGGAGAACGGCTTCGGCGCCGTGCCAAACCTATCCCGCCTGACCGTCTTGTCAACCGCGGAGCTTCTCTCCTCTTTCCTTTTTCCTCCCTCCTTCCTTCTTTTCCTCCCTTCCCCATTTAAAAAAATCACAATCTCAAGTGAGGACCTTCCGCAATTTTTGAAAGTTGTATTCTTCTCTAGCAATTCTTTGTCCTTGCTTGCAGTATAGCGTTTTGAAGTCATAGCCAAACTAATATTTTTATGCTCCCCTCAAAAGTAAGATCCAAATTAGACGTACGGAACAGAGGAATGAGCAACAATTAGAAGGACTACTATTCAAACAGTAATTATCAGCTAACAGTAATTATCACCCGGAATGCCACCTGTACTCCCAATAATGAGTTTCTCCGTGAGCAAATATTCTAGTTGACTCATTAGTTCTTGGCTCTGCTTTAGTATCTTTTTGGTTGGAACTCTCCCTTTTCCACCATGGAAATTCAGAAATATATGGTGTTCTTGCACATTTCTCGAGAAACACTACATTTCTGAACGGCGTCCTTCACATGGAGCATGCCTCAAAATATGCATTCAAATTTAGCGCGCTTCCCTGATCGCGCTGTTGCGGTGGTCTTATCGCGATTGGAAGGTAAACAACATGGTGTTTTCGAATTGTTGCAAGAAATGCAGAGAAAACAACATGTTATGCAGACGTTCGGCTGAAACTTGTTTATAGTTTGGTTTCGTTTTTCTCTTTTATTTTCAAATATTACTTCTCTAGGGTGTTTTCTCAATTTTTGTACCGTTTTGAAATTCTGAAACATAGGCAGTAGTGGTGGTTCGTACTTTCGTAAGTTTAGAATGTTTTCAATGTTTTTTTTATTATTATGCGGACATCCCGCCCACAAGAATCACCTCACGGGTGATTTGATTACAACTAGAGTTGCAAGCTTGTTAATTTGCCTTCTACATCATTTGTTATTGGTTGTTTTCTGTGGATTGTTTATCTTTCTTCAACTTCTTCTCGGTTTGTGCTTTTATGTTTTGCACACCATTGCGGTAGTGTATCTTGGTGCAGTAGTTCGTCGAAATACACCAATCGCACTTTTGCACAATGTGCCCTTTAGACCTATAAATTGCAACGAACTACTTTTCTACGCAGTTTCTTCAAACTTGTGTAGTGGAAGGTGAAGAAAATCTGTAAACTGGCGGAAGATGATTTTTGCCTCAGGTCTAGAAGAGAGGGAATTCTGGGGTTGATGAACTGATTTCTATGCAGAAGTTTTTTCACTGTTCGGGTGGCGTGAGAGCCAACTTAGTTGGGCGGGGCCACGTGGCGGTGCGGTTCCTCTGTGGGATCGCCAGCTCTCGCCGTCTGCGCTCTCTAAGCCTTGGGCAATGGAGGGATTCCGGAGCGACCTCAACTATTTTTATCGCCGGTGAAGTCACTTTTCCGGAATCTTCATAAGAAAGGGAATGGTTTGTCGCGGTTTCGAGTGACCCATGTTCTTTACTTCGAAATGTCCTACTGTATTGGCATAGCACTGCTTTCTGCGCCGGGATTTTTCGATGTGATGGTCAAAGCCATATTTGGACGTTCTTTGTATCGGTGGAGATTTTCGGGGCGTGACTCCGATTTGGGGTCTGTTTTTATAACTAAAGAAAATAGCAAGCAGTGACATAAAATAAACAGTATCAAAGGAAAGGTTAAAGGGCAGTCCACGAATATTTAGGGTTTTCGCAGACGCTCGACATCGAGTTTCTTGCCCATCAGGCTCACCTATCAGAAGCTCTCAATTGACTTCCACCCTTTTCTTACATTTTACTGTTTACGCATATCATTGTTCCTTCTGCGCTAGGATGCTTGAAAGGGTCAGTGGATGGGCTAGACTACGCTCACTTTCTGTTTACATATGGAGTCGGTGCCAGCAAAACTCGCTGGACTTTGTATCGTCTATAGGGCGTGGGAAAGACGAAGCCACGCCCCCTTCCTGCCCGTCTGCGCCCTCTGGATGATGCAGTGTTCTAGCCCTCACCACCTGCTCCCTACGCTGCCCCGTTTTTCTTCCGCTATAAGGCCGTTTGTGGAACATTCTTACGCTAGCGTTGTGTGGTCATGATACCTGAAAGCGGTATGGCGTACTACGGGGCGTGATTGGAATGAAGCCAAGGCAGCCTTTCCGTTACGTTGTTGCGGACTCGGGAATGGATCATTGGTGAAAAAGGCCGCTTTGGCAGCGTTTCAGTCCACGCCCCGCCACATTTCCATCGATTGTACGATTTTGACCTACTGTTTTTTGTGGTTTCATTACTCCTTCATTTCGACATTTTACATCTGGTAGCTGGTAACATCTAATTATCTCGTGTTTTCCGAACCTAAACAAAATTTAAGTGTGAGTTTTCAGTGCTGAAATTAAGCCATGTCGTCTTCAGCGACGCCTACACCGTCGCTGGAACAAATGTATCGTCGTCGGCCGTCATTTGATCGGCCACCAATTCGAGCACTTAGCTCACCTCGCCTTACAGCAGAAGAAGCTGACCAACTTACCAGTCCTTTTCTGTGAGTGGTTAAGTGGTTTATCTTCTGCTTTTTCAGTAAGAAAACTCATTACAACTGGAGATTTTATCTTTTTCAGGAACTATTCGACTAGATACACTTACGCGTTCAGGTATTCTTTCTGCCTTTATCTCTATCTTTATCTTTTCCTTAGTTATCTTTTGATCTGCCAGTGTACGTTTCCATCATCTCCATTCCAGTCAAGCCTATAATCCTGATAAACCACCTGCATGGGAAGTACCGAATCTTATCAACAACAACACGCTTACTGTTGCAAGTCCCGACTGTGAGCCTTATCACTATTCCGCGCCAAGCATGATGCGCAAGGTATGACCCGTTTTTGTGGTTGTTCACTTGTTTCTTAATCACTGTAATATCGTTTACTTGCGCTACTGTAGTTGGTGGGAGCCCACGTTGCAGCGCGAGGGATTTCTCTCCACGGCTTCCCCAAGACAAGGCCGCGTGCGGGTCCTGGAGGTCTGCTACTTGCCGCAGTGGGGCCCTCATCGACTGCAGTAGAGCTTTTTTCATGTTGCCAGCATCCAGTGGCGTTCACTCTCCTTGCTATAACTTATTACAGTAGCGGAGCTGGTTAGGTTTCTTTTCTTCAGTATTAGGTTGGAAGGAAAGTCCTGTCAGTGTTTTTGGAAAGTCTACACTTTTCGGTTTTTGAAGCTCGAACATGACGTAACATGCTTGTAGGACAGTCTGGGAGCTTCCCTGCAAAAGTTGTGTGGGGCGCCTCTTTTCTGGGTCTAATTACGATGTCAGTTTCACAGGAGCATCTTCGGGTCATCATGTTCTATCAGTGGCCCCGCGGCACTGGAGCAGCGGCAGCTGTCCGCAACATCAGCAGTGCATTGGCGGAGGACACTACTACCATCAGGGCCGTCCACCTTTGATTCGCTCGCTTCACGAAAGGGGACACGACCCCCGAAGACAAACTTCGGTTTTAACGGTCCCACGAGGTGGAAGACTCCACCATTCTCGAAGCTGTCAAGGAGGATCCGGAGGCTGCCACCCGAAGTTTTGGCAAGACTTGGGATGTACCTAACTGATAGCCTACAACCGCCTGTAAGCCCTTGACCCGAAAAATACAGGCTCGATGGATGACTCATACCTTGACCGATGGCACGCTGCGCACCCTGGTACCCCTTGGTCAGTCTCCCCTTCTCCGCCCTCGTCAAAAGGTGGTTTCTGGGAGACTCCTTAGTGAAGATGACAAATGGGTCCTCTTGATTTCAACCCAGTACCTTGTGTCTCTCTCAAGGAGTAGATCAATTCTGACAGACCAAACCGAGCATGTGCTTTGAGAAGGTTCTCCTGTGCTGCTCCTGGGACGCGAGGGGGATGCTGCAGAACGAGCTGCCCTGTAAGAACACACGGTCACCGCTACCATTTATGTCATTCAGCTCTTGAAACGGAAGTTGTCGGAGAAAAATGACCGAGACTAGCTTCGGGGCACCCTCGTTCGTAGTACGCGGGACCCCATACCTGCTATGTAGACCTACCAAATAATTGAGGAGCAACGCTGGGAGACCAGTTCCCGCTCATCATACTCTCCTGACGTAGCTCCACTTTCAGCAACATAGATGGTGACTAATTCCCAATTTATGTTGCGTTAAAAAATAAAAACAAGAAAAAAGTCACAACATTGACAAGACTGTCCTTCCAACCTAGTAGTATGTACTGAGCAGATACCCAAGGTTGAAGAATATAGGTACTTTCCTAACTTTTTTTTTTAACCTGCGCATGAGGCACAGTCGCGGAAAAAAACATGGGTCTTGCTTTGAAAGAGGCGCTTTCATCTGTTCTGTGTTATCTGTTCTTTTCATTAGCAACATTACTAGGCTCAGAAGCTATGAATATTATGTTACAACACAATAAGTTTTGCTTGAGCGAAGGTAGTGCAGTGGTAAGTGGCGCCACCTACCACGTGCGTGGTCTGGGGTTCAACTCCCGATCAGCTTCCCCCCCCCCCTAAGGCCAATCGAGTTCCCTACGGGGAAGCTTACTATTACTAGGCTTGTCTAAGTGGTGAAAACGTCGAAGTCTACAGTAGTAGCCCTCCCTGCTACCTCCCCCTACTGCATTGCATAGACCATTTCCCATTCAGAAGTTACCACGGCTTTAAATGGAAGTTAAGTGCGTGCAGCCTCGTAAAAAGTGATTCGTATAAGTACGAGGGGAGTTAGTGTTTTCTCGGTATAGGTATGAAGGAAAAGCAGAAAATTCTGAATTAAGTTTGTTTTTTTTCTACTCCTCCATAACCTGAATACACTTGTTTGCTCGGTAAACTGATTTTTCAATGACCTCTAGAAAATGTTTTTCCTCTTTGTCCCCAAAATGTGCGCTAATTGCCGCCTTCAGATCTTCAACGCGGTGAAACGCTTTTCACAATTATCTTTTTCTTTAGGGGGGGGTACAGAAGGTGTTCACTGATCATTTTGTCAGTTTTCTTTTCATTTCCGGTTTTTCTTCATAGTAATCGTTTTCTCAACATTGTCGCATCATTCGTTCTGGTCTTCATCTACCAAGGATGTCTAGAATAGCGTTGATGATAACCAAATGAAATTCTATGTTTATACCCTCAGGGAGTGTCGTAACCCACTGGAATGACTTAAATTCCTTCGCCATTGTTAAATTACTCTGATACCGGGAATACTTTGCACGGCCCTCGTAAAAGCATTTTCGAGCTTTTTGCTGCAGTATTGTTTATCACCGTTCGTCACCCCTCAAACAGCTGGCGTGTTTTGGCTTACGCGGTGACATGGTTAGCTGTCTAGTCTTCATCGCACTTGTTCCATTGGAAGAAGGATCACCTGATTGTTAGCCTCCTTCATTCTCTACTTTTTTTATCGCAACTCTCATTAAACCTAGCCTCCTTCATCCTCTACTTTTTTTCGCAACTCTCATTAAACCTATGTTCTTTGCAAAGCATTAGAAACGTTGAAAACAGATCCAATATCAAAGTGGCAGCGGCGTGCCCCATCGCAGTAACCTACAAAATTCTGTTCTAACATCAACGTTAGCCAACCTTTTTTTGAATAGCTCGTTTGGGAGTGCCTTATTTGAGCAATCAAAGTTTTCATATGCAGTTTATAAGTTTTACGTAAAACTATCGAAAAGCAGCGACTGGGGCTTGGTCCACGTTTTTTTTTGCGACTGTTATGAATTGATACTACAACACATCAGCCGTTGAGAAAACGGGTGAGCATTTTCTGAATTTCTGGCCTTTGGTTATCCTGTTTTCTGCTGATGTTTTTATTGAATCATATCTTCTGAAGATTCCAAATTAACTACAGTCTTATTTCGCAGTTGCCGCTTTGTAATCGAGGTAAAACTACGTGTATGTCCCGATTTCGAGCTGTTTGAAGTGTTTTAAGACATGGCAAGCAGGAACGGATGCAGTTTGGTATTTGATTTCGTCGGTGCTGTGGCTGTTGTATAGCGTCACCATACGCCCTGTAAAGGAGGTCGGGCTACTGCTCTACGATTGTGTGGATTGGACCTTGTATAGCGGTGAGAGTTTCAGACTTTGAAGGCACGTTCCCTGTTCATTTTATATTCAGACGCTTCCCTTGGACAAATTGCTCCTGTCCAAAAGTATACGAATTTACTACTATCGCAGCTCAAAAACGTGTGAGGAAACCCGCCCGCAAGGAAGTACTGCCCCGCCCTCTGCCATGGCAACGCCCAACTATCATTTCTAGAGGCTTTTTGGTTGTTCGGTCGGCTGTTCCGTGAGGGGTTCGTATCATTTCTAGTGATGGGAGTGAAGTTTTGAAAAGAAAGAGCTGACACCAATGAAGGAGAACTCGCCAGACCACTCCCATTCTTCGCCTTATGCTCGTACGAACTCGGTTCGGCATAGGGTACTACGCGGGCGATTCCAGCAGCTTTTTTCTGCTTTTCGCTCAAAGTGTCACCCATCTTCCTCCCAGTATTTGGTATTTGAGCCACACAAATCACCATTTCAAACGCTAGGCGTGCCCTTGAGCCAAAATAAAACCATTTTTTAATGGAATTGTCTAG